GACTTCGGAGTTCAGACATTGAAATCTGTAGCTGTTTCATAGTTGTTGTTGGCATATAGTAGCATGCTTCACTAGTTTGGAGTTCAGTTTGGAGAGACGGCCAGATCTAGGCAATGTCAGCTGGTACAATACACCTTCCATTTCTTGATGAATGAGTTCATTGTGCTCGCAGCGATATTCCAAGACTTCAATATGTTTATGTGCCCGTTCAATTATTTTATCCCCAAATGCCTCAATCTTCATGGTTGAGTCTTTGCTTGCAATTAACTAACTGACCAAGGAACCTCAAACCTAACAAATATTAATTGCTACTCCAAACTGTCATGACTAAAAAATCTTTAAAGCAATGAATTGTGAAAGGGTCTGAATATGTTTGCTGCGATCTGTATGCTGTAGCTGCTCTGCCTAATTAATGAAGTGTAAAGAATAAATCTAGAATTCTGTCTCTTTTCTTAAATGTGTGGGTGCAAATCACTTCTGAAAGCTCAAAGCTTGGATTTGACTCACAATAGATCATTATTATACAGTACATGCATCATACTGCACATCAGGTCATAACTCCATCCTGCATTTTGGATCTTTTTGCAAATCTCAGCAATGTCAAAATAACCAGTTTTCTAATTAGGCTCTCTGCCATTGTCTGAGTTTTTCACATTATAAATAACACACTGAAAAGTTGTAAATTCTATATTTGAGTATTCTATATAATATAAACCAACTGTGATATCATTTATCATTGCTCTACTTTTCTCTTTCACTTTTATAGCTACCGTGGCCATGTACCTACCACAAGGTATTTGTACGGTGATACTTTTGGGAATGCCACTGTCAAGTATTTTCAGAATTTTCGCTGTGCTGTCATGGAGTCCAGCAAGAGTCCATACAGTTCAGGAGGTCAGTTCCCCACGATCTACTCTCACAACCCCTGCCTAGTGACTGCCTGCCGGTCCCGCAGCCGAGACAGGGCTCTCCATACACCCTACTGGGCCAGAAACAATGTGGATTTCAGCCGACAGGAGGAGCTCAAACTGTTTGACAAGGTAAAGCAGAAACCTAGAGGTGCTCTATAAACAAGAGAAAGATGCCAGTGATAAAATACTTCCATTTAAAAACAGCATATCAGAAACACTCATTTCTAACAATGACTAAGGTTGAAGGCTGACTGTGTAGTTTAAACATCCGATGTGTTAATAGGCTTGATAAAAATTAATGTAGTGATTTATGTTTTTACTTTTTTAAAGCAAGTG